GGGGAGTGGCCACGCAGGGAAGACTCCCCCCAGTTCAACCAGCTGACCTGCCGCACGTGGCTACAGGGAGCCTCGGTTGGTGGCCCTCGCGTTCTGGCAAGCCTCACCACCTTTGCCGTTGTTGGACTCTGCAGACAGGGAGGGCCACGTTTGCAATGTGATGCTGGACCCCACTTTGGTTGGGGTCCCAGCGTGGGATTGCAAATCGGCTTTCAGTTGGCGGGGTGGAGGTTTGCCCGATCCTGAGCTGACCCCGAACGCACCAAACAGCAGGCAAAGACAGCAGCCTTGTTTCTCTCAGCCCTCGGGAACACTGTGATCCCCTGGAGGGGAGGAAGAGGGAGGCGGGAGCTGCGGACAACAATACCCTTGTCCCCCTGCCGTGCTCTCTGCAGGCAGGCGTCCATGTGCCCTACTCCTCCAGCTGTTTGGCCCAACCTCTCGCTCAGCATGGAGCCACGTGCTTGGGCGGAGAAGACAATGGGTCTGTTTACCCTGGCCTGAGATTCAGCCGCAGCCTTGGGGGGTAAAAACAATGGGGGAGGGACTGCTTGTGCTTGGGAGCTCTTTGCAATGGGGAGGGTGCAGCAGAGAAGAAAGCTGGGGGCACCAAGCAGCTGCAGCACCCTCTTCTGGGGCATATCTTTGAGCATCCATGGGTGGGGAGTTGGACTCGGTGTTCCCGGGGACCTTCAACATGCTCAACGGCTGCTTTTAGGATCGGATGCAGACGCTGACAGAGCCCTCCTTAGCTGGACCTCAGCTTTTTTTCTGAACGCCCCAGATCACTACACACCACACAGAGCAACTTTAACAGCTAGGTACTTTAATAACCTGAAATACTGCAAAAGTGCCCTTGATATAAAATTATTGCCAGCTCCATACACCCCAACCTCTGTTCTTCATCCCAATTTCTAATCATGTCCATAGTACCTTGAAAAAAGCCCCCTCCAACCGCCATTTCAGTGGGGCAAGTGCATCATTCTCCCCCTGAGATTGGGGGAGGAGAAGTCCAGCCAGGGAGGGACCCCCGGTCCGAGAGTGGTTTTTCTCACCAAGCCTCTGAACCTCACCTCCCTGGCTATGAAACATATCCTGCTCCTTTCAGAGCTGGGGGGTAAAACTGCATTTAATTCCCCCCCAGAAGGCACGTGCTGTGTTAGTAGCCCAGTTCCCCCCTCCCGCCCCCAAAGGCTGGTTTCACAAACGCACATGCGCACGCACACACACACACACACCCCTCCAACTCTGCAGGTTCACATCTGCGGGAATCCGTTGGCGAGCACCCTCCCATCGGGCACTCCTTAGTGTCAGCAGCCCTTCTGGCCATCCGAGGTCATGCAGAGCCGCTGGACGGTGGCTTGGGGTCGTGGAGCTGAGCCTGGAAATGGCTGAGCTGCTCTGCGTTGGCCAGGGAGCGCAGAACGCTGTTCTCCTGTTCCAACAAGGCGTTGCGCTCCGACAGTTCTTTGATCTGTTCCCTCAGAACCTCTACCTCTTCCCGCACCGCAAACATCAAGTGGCTCTTTACAAGGTCCTGAGGAGGAGGAGGAGGAGGCGGCAGACGCTGTAAGGTACATGAGGACCCCAGAACACCAACCATTTCCCCACTCGGCATTTGCAAACCTACGTTGTGATCTATCCTTTCACAGAAACACAGCAAAAGGGGTCGCCTGTATTGCTCTTCTACCAAGGAAAGGCGGAGGCGAAAAGGGTGCGACTCCCCCAAGGACTGAACCTGGCTCTCCTGATAAGGTTGGGTCACTGCAGGCTCTGCAAACTCTTCCTAGCAGGCCAAGAGCTTTCCTCTAGCCAGCAGCAGCAACTTTTCTGCTGGGGAGAACTACAGGAAGTGCAAGTTGCCACTAGAAGCGATCTTAGCCTCTGGCCAAACCCCGCAAGTTCTGAACGTCTCTGAGCACGTACCAGAGGTCTGCTTCCCACAGCAGTTGCCAATTTACTGGAGGGACTGGTGATTAGCTTCTGGGACTTGCCCAGGCATATAGGTCTAGGACAATAACCTCCAAACATTTTACCTTAAAAAAGGATTAGGCTGCCGCAGTGGGTTAGGGGACTGGGACCTCCTGCTGCGGAAGCTCGGAGGGCTCGGCCCCTGCGGGAGCAGCTCTTTATCTCGGTCGCTGCAGCCCTTCCGTGCCCACCGGACCATACCCACCCCCACAGGGCCACCACCCCTGCCCTGTCCCCTGACTCACCATGGCTTGTTCAATCTTGTTGTCGATGGCAATCATGCTGCTGTTGGTTCCACTGCGAGAGAGAAGGACCAGTGGGTTGGATTACCGCACCAAAGCCAAACCAGTTGCTGTCCCTTGCCGACGGCCCTCCCTGCACTCCCACTGCTGCCCTGCGTGGCCTCCGCCCTTCATTTCGCCCCCCCAGAGTCGGCCCCTCTGCCACCCGGGCCCGCCAGGTGAAAAGCAGCATCCCTGGGTCGGGCCCCCAGAAGGGCTGGAAGCAGATGCCCAGCCACTGTTCAGCAGCACAGGGGCAGTTCCACGGGCAGCGCGGGAGGCACTGGACCCTCCTGGGATCCCTCTGTTCCGGACGGGGGGCTTGCACTGCCCCCTCCCGTGCCCTTCTAGCCCCAGCAAAGTCTGCCTGCTCCACCGGGTCAGAGTCCACCCCGATCCTCGGTCTGCACTCAGGCAGCTCATCGGCACCTTCCCAGAGAGCTGCGTCAGGCAGGTCTCTCCCCCGGTCTTTATCTCCCACCTGAAGAGTCCAGATGTCTCTTGCTAAGCTCGCTCTGATCAGTTAAGCCAGCAGTTCTCAAAGTCTGGTCCGGGGCCATATTCATAGAGAGAGCCCACATAAACCAAAGCTCTTTGGGGTTCTCAATCCTTTTAAGAATGAGACGGGCACGTCCGGGAACCACCGAGCTAAGCAAAGAGGACCGCTTAACCAAAGGTTGTGCTGTAATGGCATTTGCACACCTGCCTACCCCGTTTTCTGAGGCCACACCACAGACTGACTAAACGAGTGGAGTTTGCAGAAGATGCAGAGCTGGAAGGGATTTACACAAAGTGAGCTTTGCACGCGCTACGCAGCAAACCAGCTTGGCTTTGGCTGACCTGGTCCAAGGTGTTCTGTGAACACAGCCAGCCATCTGCACGGCTGAACCGGACCGTGCGCAAGTCTCCCTTCCTCCACAAACGACCTTCTCAGGCACCTGACTCATCTCTCGGCCCCACTCTCCCCTCCCGTCCTCGCACATGGCCCCCCGCCCGGACCCCTCCCCGCTACCTGTGAAGGACCAGCAGGAGGGAGACCAGCGTCTGGTCCGCCTCCTTCTTGCGGCCGTTCAGCTTCCTGAGGCTCGGGGGGGTCTCCTTTGGCTTCTTCACCCGAGCAGGGGAGGAATCCCTGGATGAAGCTGGGGAGGTGCAACCACGCTGCCGGGGGCGATGGGAGGCCCCCGGATCAGGGAGCAAGCAGCAGCCACAGCCTGGGCGCTCCCACCGCGACTCGTAAGCATTCACCAGGGATTTGACAGATGCCCTTCGGCGGTCCAGAGACATCTTCCCCCCCAGGGAAGCTCCGCTCCCAGGGCACAGGAGGTCCCAGACGTCCTTCTGGGTTCCTGGTCTCTGCAACGGCCTGGTGGTGGGACCCCCAAATGCACTTCCTTTTCTTTCTCCTTTCACGTCCTGATAGTTTGGTCTCCCCAAGATCACCCGAGGACCCTCCTGAGCCTCAGTCCCTCCCCATCCATCTGCTCGGTGCCCGCCTCGGGAGGCAAAAGGCCGGCGGCTGCAGACGGGAGCTGAGCCGGGGAGAGGCTGGTCTTGCACGCAGCCCCAGCTGGACAGGGAAGGCGATGGACGCTCGCTGGGCCAACGGGCTCCTGGCTCAGCATAAATAGCCATCTCTGTGCCGGGCTCTCGGCCCCCTCTCATTCACTCTCATTGGCTGGGGGGGCGAGGGCGCCCCATCCCCATCCTCAGTGGGAAAGCGAGCCAGCCAGCAACTGGGCCTCAACTGCCCCGGCCTGCCAGGAGTGCAAGAGCGGCGGCAGCGGCAGCAGGGCGCTCCCTCTCCTCCGGCCCCCCCACGCCCAGGACGGAAGTGGCAGGAGGCGGCCGCCTGGCTGAGCGAAGCGCCCCCTCCGCTCTCCACCCCCCTTTCTTGGCTCTGATGTGGCAGAGAAAGCGTGCAATGGGGGGGTGCACAAAGAAACCTTTATAAACTTGCCACCTCTGTTTATGCCGGTCCCGTCCAGGGAGGGGGGGGTTCTGGGGTTGGGAAGTTGTTATGGAAACTGGGAAAGGAGTCCAGGCGCATTGCATAACCCAGCAGCACCAGCCCCTTGAATGCAGGCCCAGCCTGAGCCCCAGCCTGGGCAATGGGGCAGACGGGCTGAGAGTCCACAGGAGAGACCGTCAGCTCTGTCGGGGGGGCCTGGGGGGGCACGGGGAAAGGCAGCCCCGCCCAGGGGCTCTTCCACAGCCTGCACAGAGGAAGCGGCCTCCCCTCCACGAGGCAGGACCGACGCGGCCCCCTTCTCCCCTCACGCCAGGGCAGATCCATGGGAACTCTCCATCTGCCGCTGAGCTGCCTGGTGAAGGTGGGGGGAGGCGTCCTGGCAAACACGCCACCCGAAACCTCACAACGTGCCCGACTTTTGCGGCCTAGCAGGGGGCTGCTCGGTTCAGCACGACGTGTTTCAGCTGTGGCAACGTGAAGATGGGTGGGCGTCAGGCTGGCTGGGGAGTTCTGGGCATTGATGTCCACCCATCTTCACGTTGCCACGGTTGAAAAACACGGGTTTGGTGTCTCAGGTGAACAGCCACCGGGTGAAGTGAATGGGGCAGGAGGACCCAGACGGCTCTGGGCTTGGCCGCCCCCCAGGCTCCCACCCTTTGGCAAGGACTCCCCGTGCCCAGGAAGGCCCCTTTCTGGCTGGGTAGAGGGTTCAGCCTGGAAGAACTGCTTACGGCACATCCTTGGCATTTCCTCCCTTGCCGTCCTGGGAGAATCCACCCGGGCCGCCCTCCCTCACGGTGTCCATGTTTGCCGCTAGCCAAGGTAGGCCTGCCATCTGCGCCTTACTACCCTTGCGCCTGCACAGAGTATAAAACCGCCAGAGAGAGACCCAAGCAGAGAACTCGGAGGTTGGGAAGCCAGCACTACGCCCCTGGACTTTTCCCACAAGTGCTCTGTGGAAATCCACAGCCCCCATTGCTGGGGATTCGACTCCAATAATGCCGGGGGCTGCGGCATCCCAAACCACGACACTTTCTGGCGAGGGGTGGGGGTCAGTGGGGCATGACAGGGTAAGCATGAAGACCAGATGTTCTGGTTCTGAGGGGAGCTGCCTCCCTTGCTGCAGGGCAGAGAGCGGTGTCCTGGCAGGAAAGAACAAGGCGGCCGCCACGGTTAACACATCAGATGCTTCCGTCAGCAGACAACCCCCCTTCCAGGATGCCCGCCTCTATGCCCCAACCGGCTCTCCCAGCCCTCGGAAGGGTTTATTCTGGGCACGGTTTCTTTCACCCTTGCGTCATTGGACCAAATTTCCCAGCCAGCACTATGAAGTTTGAAGTTAGCCCCCTCATTCCTTCCCTGCTGCCCCCCCCCGCCACTTATCCACGGCTAAGAATAGCAGAGTCCCTCCTGGGAGGAATGTGGTGGGTGCTAGGCTGAGCCAGCCAAGGGGGCTCTCAATAAAGGCCCCCACTTGGCTTTTGCGGGGGGCAGCAGAGGGACAAAGCAAGAGCAGGATGGAAGGCTTTCACAGGAACAATGGTGGGTGCAGAGGACGAGGAATCCGAACCCAAATCCCTCCCTGGCCTCGGTGTGCCCTTGAGCAAGTCTCGGGCCAGCCATGCTCTCTGACCGACCTTTGCGGTAACAGAGAGTGACTATGGCATGGGGAAAGATGGGATCGAGGCCCCGTGGAAGTCCACTGTGCCCGGTCCTCAAAGAAAAGGCGCAAACGTGGGCGTGGAAGAGCCCTCGGGACCCTCCAGGGCAGCGGGCAGCTGCAGGCCAGGACAGCAGAAGCAGGCAAAGCAGCGGGACGGGGACCCTGGGAGGCCACAGCTGAATTCCAGCCAAGGGCCCCCTCTCCCTCCCCAGGTTGATAGACGGCTCCCGCCTTGGGCTCCCTGCCGGCAGCGGGTTCGGAAATGCTCAGGCACGGCTGAGGGCTGAATCCAAGAGCCGCTGCCCGCAGCCACCAGCACGAGCTGGAGGGCGAGGCACCTGGGCAAGGAAAGGGCGGGGGGCAGGGGGGACTTGGCCGCCGGCCTGCCTCCTGAACCACGCGTCGCTGAGAAGGCGCAGCTCCGGGGAGGCAGGGCGAAAAGAAGGCTGGGCTGAGAGGCTGCTGGGGTTGCGGAGGGTCAGGCTCGAAATAGACTCTTCTCCACCCCCCCGCCCCCCCCCCCCCCGG